CCAGAACCAAGCCAGACCAGCCCCTCCTCGGAAGGCCCCCTTTTTCCCTCCAGGAGAAGCCTATTATTACACAGGAGAGAGATGCGAAGGAAGCAAAATGATCGAGGGGGGGGCCTTCTGTCCCACCCACTCGCACAGAAATCTTAGAACAGCAGGGCTGGAAAAGGGGACCCGGGGGGGGGCTCGAACTCCCAACCAGAGACCTAAACCACCGAGCTATCCATCCAGCTAAATTACTGCACCCTAATTTTGGATGTTTCACATCATCACCGTCAACAACATCATGATCATCTTAGAACGGCTGAGCTGGAAAAGGGACCCTTGGGATCATCACGTCCGGCCCCTGCCAAGGAGGCACAGAGCGGGGATTCGAACTCCCTACTTCAGGCTCCGCGTCCAGAGAATTAAACCATCCTTTACCCACCAGTAAGAGAACAAAAATCAAAGCCATTTTTTCAGGGCAGCGCTTTTAAGACTCGCTTGTTTCGTAACGCATGACAACCCCCTCCAACCCAAAACACACAGAAAAGGGGATCCGGCATCTTGAAGAGTAACCGTTTCTGAGCAGCTGAATTAAATCAGTTGTTCTTAAAAGTGTGGCCAAGGTTTTGTATTTCCAGTTGTGGTGTTTTGTGTTGAGTTTGCAGGAGTTGGTCTCCCGGGTGAAACCGACCGACTTGGTTACCCCTTTGAAAATGGTTGCAGATAATGTGTTGACTTTGCAGGAGTTGAGTTTAGCCCGTTGGGTCTCCCTGGTGAAACCGACCGACTTTGTTACCCCTTTGAAAATGGTTGCAGATAAAGTCACCCTCCTTCACTTCTTTCTTTGAAATAAATAAGGCAAACACATTTGTCTTTCAAAACAACATGGGATCCCATTTGGTCCTTTTTTGTGTGTGCAAAAACTATTTTAGTCACTTTTATACAGTTACCATAGTTTCATAAGAGGTGGCTTCACTGCTTAGGTGTGTTTTGTAAATCAACCCACAGCTTGTAACATTCTTATTCTTTTTTTAAAAAAAACCAGTTAACTGGGAAAAAAATAACTCTTTTAATTTGTTTTGAATAACATGTAAGAAAAAAGTTACTTTTAGAAAACTGTAACAAGATATGGGCCAGGATGCACCGCCTGGCCCTGTAACTGTAGCTAGCTAGTCTTAGCAACAGCTTCCTAAGCGCTGATCGCTCCCACATTTTTAGGCTGGGGTTTCATGTCTACGCTTCTCTCCTTGGGGAGGAGGAGGTAAGAGAGCGGCCAGATCCTTAGCCAACCTGGATTTCTCCTGCTCATGCTTTGCACTCATCAATCCTGTTGGGTCTTGTTTTTGAGAAAACCTCGTGGGAATGGCCCTTTCTGCTCATAGTTCTGTAGTTCCCGGCTGAAATCCTGTTGCACAAGTAATGCAAATAGCGTGACTTTTAGAGGAGAATTGCCAAAAGTGAAGAAAACCTCTGCAGACCCTTATCGGTGGCGTAGCACGACTCGTTAGGCAACAAGACAATGCCCACGGACATGTCTTAAACTTACGGCAGTTTTCAAAAGTTGCACCTTTTGTGTAATTCCACAACAGGATTTCAGCCTCCACATTTAAAAAAAGCAACAATAAAGAGGTGAACAGCCATATTTTAAAAAGCAGAAAGCTTTATGTGTGTATGGTATTGTTGTTTTTTTTACAGTTCCAAATGCCAAACATGAAACCAATTGTATGCCAAGCATACAATTAAAACACACAAGATTTCCTCCCACCACCACCCCCCCAAAAATCAAAATTTGAAATTCTATAGAACACAATTCAGGGCCATACGTTCCTGACTCTCTAGCTTTCCACCTGCAGGGAGGTCCAACATCTGGCCTGAACTCTGCCTTCCAGTAAAAGATGTGCCTGAATGTTGGGAGAACATTTCTTTGATATTAGTCTATTTTTCTCCCACTCTTGAAGGCGCCTTCTGCGTTCGGATCACCCGGCCGTCTCATCACGCAGTGTTTTTAGAAACCCGAGCAAGGGGTAGGGAGCTTGGACGCCAGCGCTTCTGGGCCTGGGTGTCGCTTCAGGTTTTGTGTTTTGCTTGCAAGCCGAGCTGAAGCCAGCGAGATGAGCATTTCCTCGGCCGAAAAGCAGAGTTTCTAGTCAGAAAGGATTCCGCCTTCAAGCACCGCCATATGAATCATGTTATTGTTTTTGCTTTTAACATATGTTCAGGAACATAATCTGAGGCTGAAAATATCATCTCTGATGAAGCTCAGGATGGCATCTGCTCCTGCTTTCCAGGCCAAATCCTGGCACTCGCCGTGCAGAAGGGGCTCGTGAGCCGGGAAGGGGGAGATGCTCCACCCTAAAGGTTTGGGATACCGTTCCCGCCCTGCTCCAGCCACAATCCTCCGAGGCGGGATAGGGGCCAAGGAGCTGGAGTTTCAAGATGCCCCGGCGGGGGTGGGGGGGAGGTCAGGGGAATGTTTGGCTGCCCCTTTGCATTTTATGAAGCCAGCAATTGAAGCTCTTTCTGTGTGTGTGTGTATGTGTGTTGCATGTAAGTGGGCGTGGACATATATGCACACACCTTTTACTGCTAAAGCCAGCAATTGAAGCTCTTTCTCTGTGTGTGTGTGTGTGTGTGTGTGTGTGTTGCATGTAAGTGGGCATGGACATATATGCACACACCTTTTACTGCTAGAGTCATGCCTGCAAACCATCCAGAGAACTGCAGGCTGGTTCCTTCCGACCCTCCCTCCCTCCCTCAGAGAACTTCCGGGCGGATGGGGTGTCTCCTGGCTTTTCCTGCCTCCTCACCAAACATCTTCCACAAGCATCCTTCCTGACCATGCTTCTCTGTGACTCAGGGTCAAGCAGCCTCTACAGCTATCCACCCCCCCCAAAAAAAATCTCTCCCCACTGGTCTGCTGGGCATTCCTTGCAAGTCCCTCAGATCTTCGGGGGGGGGGTTGTCTGCTTTTCAGTCAACTTGTCTAAGCTGCTGCCCCCCCCCCCCCGCGTGCTAGCCTTGACCTCTCCCCTAACAGGGTCCCCTGCCTGCTCTTTGGAAGCAACTGCCTCTGCCTGGAGGTGAGCCACGTCCTGGTGGGTCAAGGATGGCAAGGGTGGGGGGGAGAGAGAGAGAGACTCAGGAAGACAGAACCCCCTTTTGGGTTAGTCCCCCTGGTCTATTTCTCAGCCACTCACCCCCTTTGCTTGGCTTTCAAGGCAAGCCAGAAACATTTCCACTCAGTTTTTTTTTTAATCAATTTATTAATCAATCACATGGGGAGTTTTAGCCCACGCTTCAATCAATTGATCTGCTTTAATGCACCCAGAGAACAACAAACACAGGAAACAGTCCCCTGGCATCATTAAATAAGTAAAGGGAGTCGGCTACTCAATTAAATTTGGCAAGTGTTGTTGGGCACAAGCTTCCGTTTCCATTTGCTTGCTCCTAAGCGAACGCAGCGGAGGAACAAAAAAACGGAGATGGAGCACAAGGGGTGAGGAGCCGGGAGCTGGACGGGAGAGGGTGAGAAAGGCCAGGCGTTTGCAGAGACCAGCAGAGTCTCCCGGCCTCTTTCAAGGCAGGGGAGGCCAAAGAAAGGGTCACTCAGGAACCAACAGAAGAAAGGAAAAAGGCAACGAGGGTCGTGGAGAGTCCCTGCAAGGTGTGTGCCATGTTTGCCTTTGTGCCTGAAAGCAAAACGGCAAGTGCAAACAGGTTCCACTGCTGGAAGAGAAAGAGAAAACTGGTGCAGCGAGTAGCCAGGCTCCAAGCAACGAGAGAAGGTGAAGGGTCTTGGAGTCATGGTTGCTCACAAGCTGAATGGGAGCCCAACTGTGTGATGCAGCTGCAAAAAAGGCCCAGGCGATGTTAGGGCCACCCTAGTGGTTGTGGGGTTTTTTACTGCCATTTAACACGGGAGGGAATTTTTGTACGGTTGGAGGGGTTACCTTCCCACCCTCTTTGTTCCTGAGGAAACTGGGGGGCTCCACTGCAACCTCCCTTTAAGACGGGGACCTAAAAAGCACTAGAGAGGATGATCGGACTTGCCTCAGGCCTTCTGAAGCCCATCCCTCTTTCTCTCAAGGGGGCAGGCTCTGCCTTCGTACCACCTCCTTTGGGTGGTTGTTTTTTTGGGGGGGAGGTGGGTGGGATTCTCTGATGAGGAATTGGGCCACTGGTGAATTCCACTTGTGAATTCAATGTCGCCTTAACGAGGGGCGTCCATGAGTGGTGCTGGCCACCCTCCTCTTTCCCTGCTTCGTGCAAGCGGCCAGATAGGGCGAGCATCCGTATTCAAGATTTATTGGGCAGGAACAGTTGCCCCTTGGGCATGTCAGCAGAGAGAAAGACACACACACACACACACACACACACACACACACACCCTGAAAGAGAAAAGGAAACGAATCATCCTTTCAATACGGCTGATCCTCGCCATGGCTCCCCGCAAGACTCCGCAGTGGGCGAGGGTGGGAACTCTGCTTTAAGTATCACATATGTGGCAAGCGCGAGGCATGGAGGGGAGGACTGTCACTGTTATTGATGGGGCTCATAAAGCACATGCTTCCCCCCCCCTTCATACTGGCAAACACATAAGTCACTGGCCAGCCCCGAAGCCTCTCTGCTGCTGTTTGGAAGCCAAGGTTTTGTTTTAAAAAAGGGGGTTTCCTCTACACCCCTCTGAGTTGCAGGCCATTTCCCCCTTCGATTCTTGCCAGGAAGGCACCGCCTTCCCTTGGCTGGAGAACGGGCCAAGACCCTCACATGCTCCTCTGACCAACGGGAGTTTATCCCACTCCTCCCACCTCCATGCCCTCCTCTTTCTTCTCCCTGACCCTGGAGATTTCTGAAGAGGGTGACCCCCCCACACCCCCACATTCCCAGAGACCCACAGAGGGAAATAGCTCCAAGTTCCCCAGATAGTCCACCCCTTTCTCACGAATGGGCCCTTAAGTGCTCAGTAACTCATCCCGAGACATTTGTAGGAGAAAGAATAAACACGCTTCATCACTTACAGTTGGAAGCAGGTCAACCGGGGTCTTTCCATCATCCTCCAAAGAGAGGCCCTCTTCCCAAGGAAAGCTTCCTTGGTCCAACTCTTCCAATGGAGAACTATGCTCTGCACAAGACAGAAAGAGAACGTTTGTTTGTTTATTTGTTTTATAGGCCACCTTTGTCGTGATAACAGAATAAGTTAAACATTAAAAAAACCACAAATAAATGATACACTCATTCCAATACAATTCAGTAATTAGAAGCAAGTAAACATGAAAACACTTCTTTAACTTTAAAAAGGCATTTCAGGGACTCACCTATCCGAAGCGGGGCTGAAGCCCTCTAAGATGGCAGAGCCGGACGTCAGTGGCGACTGAGAGGGGAGGGCTGGCCCAGCATGTCGGGAGGGCCCGATCCAGGTAGGGACTCACCTATCCGAAGCGGGACTGAAGCCCTCTAAGATGGGAGAGCCGGAAGTCAGTGGCAACAGACTCTGAGAGGGGAGGGCTAGCCCAGCATGTCGGGAGGGCCCGATCCAGGCGGCTTCCACAGTTATCCTCTGAAACCCAGGAACACTGTGGCCACCAGCATCATCCAGAGTCTGCCTGGAAGCATCCCTCCGATGAGCAGCTGGTGCCCGTGCCCAGAGACAAGAGGACAGAAAGCTGGGTGTGGGGTTTCCAGATCTTCTGGGCTACAAAAGCCTCGGTGCTCCCTTCTGGGAGTTCTGCCTTCCTGGCCGGCACCTGGCAATCACCTGCACGGGATGCACCTGGGAGAAAAGGCCTCGATCCAAAGGCTGGGAGGCTCAGCGAGGCCGAGCGTCACCAGGGTTTCCCCCTTCTCCGGAGGAAAGCTCTCAGCGGTGGTGGGGCAGGAAAAGGAGCCAGGGGTGGACCACTGATGTATTTAGAATATTTTGACTCTCTCTTTCTCTTTAATAAAGCACCCAAGGCAGGCTGCATCACTGGCAAGACAATGTTTTAGAGCATATTTTAAATATTGTCTTTCAAGGATGTCAGCCGCTTTGGGTCCTTTTTTAAGGAGAAAGGTGGGGTAAAAAATATTCTAAATACGTAAATAAATGCTTAAAAAACATTAGTGGTGTTTAAAGCACATTTAAAAACAACACAGTGCAGCAGTTACTCAGGAAAAGCCTGCCTGAACAGACCGGTCTTTGCTCCTGAAGCCCAGCGAGGCTGGGGGGGACTCCTTCCCAATTTGCTCCAGTGACTCTATGGATGGGCCAGGCCTCCTTGGACTGAGCAGCTGAGTAAAAAGGGGGCAGGATCCCACCCATGTTCACGTGCAACCCCCTCCAGCACCTCTCTTTGCTTCTTTGCTCCACTCCCCCCCTCCCCGCCTGCCGGGCCTGGCCTGTTCGTTGGTCTCTTTTGTAATGTTGATCTTGGACAGCCTTGCAAGGTTTGCGCTGAGAACTCTCTGGCAAGCCCCCCCCCCTCTTTCCTTGAACTGCAGCCTCAGCAGCAAAAGTGGGTCATGTGAAACCACACACACACACACACACACACACACACACACACACCCTGCAGGAGCCCACGGGGTGGATGGGGAGCTGAAGGAGGGAGGGAGCCCCGTGTTCAGAACCCAAAAGGAATCCGGAAGGCCCAAGATGGGGTGGAGGGCGGAGGAACGCCCTTCGGAGTTGGCTGGCCCCACACGGAAGCTTCCAAAGGCAGATGTCCCAGGAAAGAGAAGTGGAGGTTGGGGGGGGGGTAGGAGGGCGCCAACTGCTCCTTGGGGCTCAGAGAGTGGCCACCTTCTTCAGCAGGGCCAAAGAGAACCTGGGAGGGCTGTTGGGTGTCTCTTTGAGAGAGAACCCTTTGCAGGGGGTGCCTCCTTTTCCAAAGGGTCTTTCTCCCGTGGAAGCCCCCCACTCCACGTCCACATCTGGCTGAAAAGGAGATGACGGGGCGATGAAGGAGGGAGCTCAGAGACCTTGACCGTCCCGGAGGTGGGCAGGACCTGGAGAACAGCAGGCCTCGCCAGCATTCACGATGTGTTGGCCCCGGTGGTTCGGTGGCCCTGGTTTCCAAAACCGAGTCGCTTGGCCCCTTTTCTTTTCCTGACCTGTGAGAATACTAAAGGCAGGTGGGCCTGCGCCCAGGTTTACTGAGTGCCGTCCGCTGTCTGAAGGCATTCCTCTGTGCAGCCCAAGCCTGTCTTGAAAGAAAGGACCCATTAAAATGTGGCTGGAAACCCACGAGGCCCTTGGTGGTTTTTGGTTGTGTCGAAGGGTCAGCCCTAAACTGAACCCATCTCGTTTCTGGAGATCAACCGGCACAACTCACTCTTCGGTGCCAACTTGTGACGAAAACAGTTGGACTGGTTTTATCCGAGAGAAAACAGACCCCCCGCAAAGCTCAGATCTGGCTCCTTTTCTGGGCTGCCTTGGAGGTGTAGCACGGCCTGCCCGAACTTCACCCCGGCAGCCGGCAGCGCCGTCAAGAAGAATCAGCACAAAAACTTCAGAGGTGGCTAACTCTTCCCTCAACAAAACACGCCGCCGTGGCTAGGAGTCCCCGGTTCCTTGCGCGTGGCTTTTCTGGCGACGCTGTCCGAACACATCTGCAACCGTCTGGTTGCATAGCGCTGCCGCTTTCCGTGCCAAATGCGTCCGTGTGCAATCAAAGTGTCCGTGGAGGCTTGCGCTTTATCAAGGAGCCGCGCGTTGCCGCTCGCTCCCTCCGCATAATCCTCAGGGCCACCTGCTTTCCAAATATTTTCCACATTCACACTCTCTCTATATAAAGTGTCTCTTGGCCGCCCAGATTCTCCGGAGGGGAGACGCTGGCCGGTGTGCTGGGTCCCAGCTGGGGAAGGTCTCTTCGATGGGGCTCCAGCCTTCTCACCGCCCCCAAATGGTTTTGATTTCAAAATTAGATTTGCTCTTTGTGACAGAAGGACCGATCCGAGTGCTAGGAGCCTTAATGACTGTGCGTGGATTTGAAAATGGAGTTTATGAGGTAATCCTGGCCGTCTGAGAAGCCTTGGCGAGGAGGCCCGAAGCCAGAAATGTCGCAGTCAGGGTCACAATGATATGTGTACTCTGTGTGTGTGTGTGTGACATCACAAGCCAAAGCAAACCAGCAGAAGCATTAAAACGTGAGTCACCTCAGGGTTCAGTTTACTTGAAATTAAAAGCCAGTGTATAAATATTTAAAGCAAATAAACCTGTCTAGTTGCATTACAGCACAAACCATTTTAGTGTGTCTCTGTGTGTGTGTACGTGTGCATGCCATGACATCGTATGTATGCGCACAGAGGGCTTGCTGCCCAACTGTTTTGTCTCAGCATCCCCCCCCCACCAGCTTTCCAGCCAGACTCTCATTCTGTTTTCCTCACCTGCGATTCTGCGTCGGTCTCCCACCCATAAGCCAGACTCTCCTTAGAGTCCAAAATCCGATGGGAATTGGATGGGCAGTTCTGGCTTGTCTGTCTGAGCCAGTGGGATGCTAGTTCTCGTTCCCATCATCCTACTCCTCCCCGCCGGCTTTCCAGCTGTGGTACATCTGTGTAAATGTTGTTGCAGGGTTAAGAATTTCTCGTACAATTCCCTTTTGTTGTTCTGCAGGAGGAGTACAGAATAGAGACCACGTTCCCCAAGTTCAGCCCTTTCTCGTTAACTGGAATTGAAAGTCTCAGTGACTCGCTCTGAGACATTTGTTAGAGAGAGAATAAAAATGTTTATTTACAGCTGTTTGAAATTACAGAATTGCCGCCCCAGCTTTCTTTACTGCGCTCATATTCACAACCAACGGATCAGATCAACAGCAAACAAACCACTGCTTCCAACTGACAGAAGAGAGGGGGAAAAGAACACTCAGCAGAGAGGCGGGACTATCTTTCGATTCACAAGGAACGATTGGTCTGTGCTGGATAGATTGACAGTCCCCGCAGCCCAGAAAAATGTTCCTCCCAGGGATAACTAGCATGCAAGGCTGCAAAAAATCCAAACATTTTCTGGGAGTCAAACAAAGGCTATAAACCTCAGAGGGTGCAGAATATAAATGCCATCGGCACACACCGTTGCAGAGTGTCAGAGTATAGAGTATAGTCCTGTTTAAATTGGGTTCTTCCCTGTTCCTCCTCCCGATTCAGAGCCCTGCCGCTGTGCACCAGCCCAGCCCCACCGGCTCGTAAGCGGAGAGCAGATGCAGGGAGGGATGTGAGGACACCTCTATAATGCATAAGCCCTTAAAAAATTCATCACTGAAATCAAACTAATGGCAAACAGATTTCCAGAAGTACAGGGAAGGGAAATAGAAGGAAGGAAGGCGTCTTGACCAGGCTGGAGGTCTGGGTTATGTCCTCTCTGGATGGATGGATGGACGTGCCACCTCTGGCATGTCCTGTCCTCCGCCGCCCTGCTCAGCTCTTGCAAACTCAAGTCTGGGGTTTCCTTGAGGGAGTCAGACTATCTCGTATTGGGTCTTCCTCTTTTCCTACTGCCTTCCACCTTCCCCAGAATCATGGTCTTTTCCAGAGCATCCTGCCTTCTCGTGAGGTGCCCAAGGCGGGAGCGCCTCAGCTTCAACATGTTCGCCTCCAGAGAAGATTCAGACTTGATTTGCTTTTGTCGGCTTCCTTCGGCGGGGATGAAGGCCAGGGCGGCCAAGGTGCTCCTTCTGTCCCCTGACTGGACCATCCATCTTTCCTGAGCCCTCTTGTTGTTTTGAGCTGTCCCCATCAGATTTGGAGAGAGCTGCCCTCCCGACATGCTTATCCCTGCTGGAGTCCTCCTTTCTTTCTCTCCAGTGGGAGTCGGCCCCACTGCCCTCCCCTCTGCCCCATCCTCAGGCCTCCCTGCGAAGGGACAGGCGCTTCCTTGGCCAGACGCGCAAATCGGGTGGGATTCCCATCCCCAGAGTGACTTTCTGCAGAGGCCGAGCAGGAGAAGGCGGGACCCCCTTCTTGGTGGATTGGGCCCCACATTGTCTTTGGCAAATAATACAGGGCTGTGTCTACGCTCCTGAAGGATCATTACCTCCATTAATTGGCCAGGAGGGCCTGAGTGGGCGAAGCGCCGTCTGGCAGGATTGAATGCCCCTCTCTCAGAGTGGCTGAGATCATTGAAACTCTTCCGTCAGGCCCCTGGCTCTTGAGCAACAAAGCCTGTTTTCACGGGCGGTTAGAATTGGCTGCGTTACCTTTAGGTCATGCCGATGTTTATAGCCAGCCGGGGCTCCAGGAGATGAGAGCCCTTTCCCACATTCTGAAACCAAGTCCCACCTTTTTAGAGAAGCCGGATGGAGCTTGGCCTGTGGCTGGCACAAGCTGGGGATCGTTTCCCGAGAGCTGGGGCTGGCCAGGAGGGGAGGAGGTTCGGGCTGAAGGATCCCTCCCTGATCAAGGCAATTGCCCGGGATCTGTGCAATACAACCCTCTGTTTGCAAAGATCAGGGGTGCAGGATGATGACACAGCCCCGAGTGGGCCTCTGGATGGATGCTGGGCAAAGTTCACGGCGCCCATGGGGAAAGAATTAACATTTAACTGAGAGGCCGCAATGCCAGCGCTACCTCTGCCATCCATAGCAGGGAAGGAACAGAGTTCACATGTGCACACACGCACACTGACAGACACACAAAGACACACACACACATGCAGGGCTGCCCAGAAGCGTTGTCTTTCCTACCCACAGGAGATTCCCCACACGGGCCCTGAACGTTGTTTCCTTTTGATGTTTGCAGTCTTGTTCCTCCTGGACAGACACTCCTCCGAGTGGGGGATGGTGCAGAAGCACAAGAGCCGCAAGAGGGGGCGCCACCCAGCCGGGCCCCTGGACCGTCCAGCCCCGGCACTGGCGGGCAGCCAACGG